GTCACAGCAGCCATAAAGGAAGCAGAATAGGGCACAGGCATAAACTCTGCCTCGGGACTCTGGGCCAGGGCTAGGACTTCCATGCCAAGCAGACCGCAGTAGGTAGGTAGGTAGTTAGATAGGTAGGTAGTAGGTAAGTACTGGCTGGCTCCTCTCATATCCTTGGCACATGAGGAGGATTCTGGGAGTACTGATTCTGGAAAGAGAGTGTAGCGTGTTCCCCTATCCTGGTGGAGAGGGCTGTTTTTTACGTCCTCTGATTTGCGAGTCCTTTGAGATTGGGAGTGAAGGTGGAGAGGAGTCCTCCAGGAGGTGCGGAGGGGGAAGAGGAGGCTAGTTTGGTGCTTGGCACATAATATGCACTCCATAAACACTTGTGAGTGATGTGTGGGGTGTGTGGTATAGTTTATGGCAGATCTAGAGCCAGACAGACAAGTCTAAACTCTGCTTCTACCACTAACGGCTCTGAGCTTCGGAAGAATCCGCGACGCCCCCAAACTTCAAGCACTCCAGTGCCTGTGGCAGGCAGGGGTCTTCTTGACAAATATTGGAAGCCATACTCTCACTAGCTTAAACCAAAAAGGAAATTTCTAGCTCACATAGCTGGGAGGGGCACTACAGCAAAAGCTGCGACCTTGGGGCAGGACCCAGGGTCTCCAAGATTCTTGCTCCTTGTCTTTGCCTGACTTTTGCAGATAGGCTCTGTCCCTGTGGCAGAGAAGGTGGCCATTTGTAGCCCAAATTCAGGCTTGGAGAGATGGCTTCTCTCTCTCTCTCTCAACATCAATACATCCATGTCAGAGAAGGCTTTGATTGAGCCTGTTTGGGCCCTAGTAAGACCTGGGTCACATACCTCGTCCTATGGTAAGGGGGGGTGGATGACGTCACAGGAGGAGGGGGATGGGAAAGCCAGGTGGGCAGACAAAACAATAATACAGTACCTACAATACCTAAAGGTTGGTCGAGTGCACGCGTGTGCGTGCGTGCGTGCGTGCATGTGTGTGTGTGTGTGGAGGGGGGGTGTTGGGGAAAACCGAGTCAGAAAGAGCCCCTGAAAAGGGAGCATGCAGGTAGGACCAGAACCAAGCTTGGTCTATTCACAGGATTATCATGATAGGATTACCTATCATTTGGCCCCACTATGTGTCAGGCTCCACATTAGGCTAAGTATATGTTCCATAAATCAATTCTCATTCTCACAGTAACTCTAAGAAATAGGTATTATTAGCCCCATTTTAAAAATAGAGACGGTTGCTGGAGGGGAGGTGGGTGGGGGGGATGGGGTAACTGGGTGACAGGCATTAAGGAGGACACTTGATGTAATGAGCACTGGGTGTTCTATGCAACTGATGAATCACTAAATTCTACCCCTGAAACTAATAATATGCTACATGTTGACTAAATTGAATTTAAATAAAGAATTAAAAAAAAGTAAAGAGCAGACTTTTAGGACACACAGGCAGTGAGTGAGCCAGATTCAAACGTGGGTCCTTCAGACTCCAGAGCCCATGTTTTTGCCCAGGGTTGAGCCACTGCTTTAGAAGCCAAAGCTGAAAGCTTGCTGGACAGTTGCAGAGAGCACACTGTGAGCCCCAGCAGGTGTGGTCTTGCCAGGGACTTTCACGAACTTCCAACTTCCCGGCTACTTACTTCCTGCGCTCCAAGTCCTACAGGCCCTTCCCGGCAAATGGAGACAGGCAAAGCACTCATGGTAATACAGGGACCTCTTCACCAAATGGCATTTCTCCCAGACTTGATCCCCCAGTTGGTGACCCTGCCTGGAATTGTCTAGAGTCTGGCCTGTTTAGGTGAGAGGAAATGGGGCTGGGGTGTTTGGTGGGACACTGGCATGGCAAAAAAAATCAAAGGATGTCATCTCTCACCTAAATCACAGAAATATCTGCAGCCCCTAATGGTTCCCTCTGTCCCTGTGCCGCCTCTCCAAGCCATTCAGCTCTTCCCAGCTAAAGAGACCCTCCTAAAATACTATCCCTCCTGCACCCTCCCCTGCTCCAAACCTCAGTGGCTCCCCTTTGCCCACACTCATTATGGAGGCTTCCCAGACTTCTCAGGACCTAGCCCTCCCTCCCACCTTCTCCAGCTTTCTCTTTTACCACTGCCCCTCGCACTTGGGAATGCAAAAGACTTGGAACAATAGGATAGCAAGGAACCATATGTGGCTATTTAAATTTAAACTAATTAAAATTAATTCAATTATAGTTAAAAATTCAATTCCTCCGTCACACTAGTCACATCTCAAATGCTCAATAACCTCTTGTGCTCGTGGCTACTGTACTGGACAATGCAGATAGAGAACGTTCCTATCATCACAGAAAGTTCTCTTGAGCTTTTCTCTTACAAAGGAAGCTCTGATCAAGGAATGTTAACAGCTTTAGAGGAATCCAGGGTAGATCTGACCTATTCAGTGACTTTTTTTCTTTCTTTTTTTTATTCAGTGACTCTTTCAACAAATATTTGGCACCTACTGTATTCCAGGTCCTGAATACACAATAGTGGGCAGTGGGAGCTTGGTCCTTTTCTAGGAGTGAAAAGGCAATTGCTAGAAGGTGTCCTAAGTGCCTGAGCCCAGGTTTGGGGATCTGGGAAGGCTTCCTGGAACAGAGGACATCTAAGCGTGACCTGTAAGCTGAGGAGGTACTAGCTAAACTGAGTGGCTCTCTAGACCAAGCTCTTTTTGGCCCTCAGTGGCCCTTATCACAGGCTGTTCCCACTGCCTAGACTGCTCCTCCTCTCTTTTTCCCCAGGGAGAGAAGGACGGAGGCTAGTTCCTTAAAGTTAGTTCTCCAGCTGGGACCAAGCAGAGAGTGTTAGGCCACCAACCCAAGAGCTCTGTGCTGTGGCCTTTGCTCGCCCCACCCCTCCCCCCAGGCTAGCTGGCTTTGGGGCTAGGCAAATTCAGGGCTAGGAAAAGCGGGCCCTGGGGTAGAGGACTCCTCGAGAAGTGAAAGCTGAAAATCTGGTGGGAGATGGGAGAGTCTGACTGTACCCTGAGGCCAACACAAGGTTGGGCTCTCCACCTTCTCCAGTCCCTAAGTTCCCCTCTGGGTCAGGCTGGGGAAAGTGTAGAGGAGACGGGCCACTCCCACGTAGGGCCTAGAGGGAGCCAGGACCGGCTCTAGAGCCCAGGGAGGCTGGCCTGGGGTCTCCTATCCGCCTGCTTCTGCGAGAGCCCCCGGCGGCTAATCCCCTCCAGATCACACAGCTGCGCCCACCCTCACCTGGCCCTGTGCCACCGGCCCCATGCTGCTCCTCTTCCCGGTGGCCTGGCCGGAAAGTACAGTGGGACCTGAAAGTGACAGTCATTGACCCGAATTCCCGTGCGTGCTTATCTGGGAGACAGGCCCATCAGGCCCTGCACTGTCCTCACCGCTTTCCAGAGCACGCCTCACTTAAGCCTCCTCCCCCAGGATAATTGCGTAGGGACCTCTATCTCCGCCTCTATTACAGAAGTTGGGGAGAGGGGGCTCTGTCAGAGGCGGCCGCGCGGGGGCCGACCGCCAACGCCCCACCGCCCAGCCTGGCCCCGCATCGCACTTGCATCGCACGGTGCCCGCGGCCCCCCTCGCCCATCTCCCCGCGCTCCCGCCCCGGCCTCCGCACCAGCC